CGTGAATTTTGTACTTAAGGTGCGTGAGTCTTGTGCCTAATGTGCGCGAGTTGTGTGCTTAATGTGCGTGAGTGTGTACTTAATGTGAGTTGTTGAAACTTTAAAGTGCATGAGTTTTGTGTTTAATGTCCGTGAGTTTTGTGCTTAAGGTGCGTGAGTCTTGTGCTTAATGTGCGTGTGTTTTTGTGCGTGCGTGCGTTTTGTGCTTAAGATGCGTGAGGGTTGTGCTTAAGGTGCGTGAGTTTGTGTGTTTAATGTGCATCTGCTGTGTACTTTAAGTGCGTCAGTGTAATGCTTAATGTGAGTCCCCACACAACCGCACGGGAAGCACCACCCGCACCTGATCTATAACACCTCCGAATTTCAACAACTTTTAAAACTTAATTTAAAGGGATTAACAGTCTAAACATCAACTTAAGAAAAGCGGAAGCTAACTACATAAATCCGGGAGATGTTATGCCACACCTACACAACCTTAGGTGCACAGACAAACGCTAACTACTAAGCAGTCTAACAGTTCAACTACTTAGGCTCACAGGCCTCAACAACTATTAAAGAAAGATATCTAATCTATCTACAGGCCACTAGCGCGCTCTCCAAAGCTACTCAACCTGTAAAGCAACATAAAGAAAGGGGACGACGCCCGGTCAGCGAATATTGCTGGTAACCCATCAATACGCGTTAAGTAGCATATATAGATAGTATAATACATGTGTAACCTCACCCGCCGCCACGCCACCGGAGCGTCGTGGTGTCGTTCTGGCCACTCGTCCGTTTGCCTATCACGTGCGCATGCCGTGCATTCCAGGGAACAAATTATTTTATATGTTATAATGAAGAAGATAATCAATGGCTGGCCAGCAGTACGTAGACAACTTTGTAATAATTTGGTAATAATTAAATGGAGAAAATTTCAATTTTGGTCCACTGACTATTGAAGTTGTGTTAATTGCAACACTTGACTTTCAAAAATGTTAATTTAGTACCTTGATTATGCAATTTCTATCAATTTTGGTCACGCCGGCCAAATTGCCGGCCAAATCTCACCGGATAAATTTAATAGGTCAAATAATGAGGATAATTTAGTCATTTTACTCCTTTTCTCTTTCTTCTCAGGTTCTCCGGCGACGATGAGTAAATTAAAGATGAGCTTTGGAGAAAGAAAATATGAGTAAATTAAATTGGTTTAGTAACAACAAATCCTGTCATTGCTCGTCTAGCAGAAATCTTGACGAAAATGAAGAGAGAACTCTCGCTTTTTCCTTCTTCTTCCTTTTATTGATTTTCACCTCCGAATAGCAGTGATCTCCGCCGGCAGTATGCATACTAGGCAGTGGGATCAGCTACTCCTCCGTCGCGCATTTCCTTCGCTCCTATTCCAATCCATCCCAACCCGAAAATCGGCTCCATAAGAATCTTTGAGCGCCATGTTGTCGGCGGCGGCCGCATGGCCACGGTCACCATCGCCAGGATACCTTTGAGACCGGCGGCTCAATTCATCACCCAAAGAACTACCACGCTAGCAACTTCACTAACTTCCTGAATCTCAACGTCAAAACCTCATCATCCGAATCCGATTCCTTGTTTGGCATCTGGGACGGCAATAAATTCATCTTCAAAATCCTGTCTTCGAACTCCAAGCTTCCGATTCGAGAAAATGCTTAAGTGGTGGGGGCTCTATAATTTGACTAGACGGACTCAATATGCTTTAATTTTCTAATGACAGTGCTGTGGGTATGAAAAGATGAGTAAATGAAGAGAAGCTCATTGGAGAATTGAAGAAATCGTCGCCTGGAGAGTAGTTCATCGGAGAAGAAAGGGGTGGTGAGTAAAAGTACTAAAATACCCTTATTATTTAACCTCTTAAATTTTTTTTCGGTGAGATTTGGCCGGCAATTTGGCCGGTGTGACCAAAATTGATAGAAATTGCATAGTCAAGGTATTAAATTAACATTTTTGAAAGTCAAGTGTTGCAATTAATACAACTCCAATAGTCAGTGGACCAAAATTGAAATTTTCTCTAATTAAATGGAACGTCACGTTTTCTATGCCCGTTAGCTTCAAAAGAAATTGAAATGGACACAATCATAGTGTGTTTGGTTTATACATAAAAATTTAAATTGAAATGAGAATCAAATATATGATAATGATAATAATAATGAGTTTTGATGAAAATATTTTGTTGATAGTAGAGTGGAATTGTAATGATTACTAATATTGATATTTGGTTGTATATAATCCTATAAATAATGGGACTGGATGTTTTAAAAATACAAACACAAAAAATCAAGAAAATTAATCCTAATATAATAACATCTAAAGCATCACTATGAACAAAAAAATAAATAAATAAAATAAAACAAAAAGTTAAAAGTACTAATCCAAATTTAACAATTAGATTACCAATAAGATGGAATGAGACCCCTTTTTAAATGAGATTTTTAATTGAAGAGACTTTTAAAAAGTTGTCAACCAAACACTAAAGGGGTGTTTGGTTCATGTTATACAACATAACTAAGGGAATGTGACATTCTTAAACTTACGTTCCTATGTTTGGTTCATTTTCCCAAGGGAATATAAAATTCCATAAAGAATGCAACATACCCTCCACATAGGATTTTGAAGGGAGTGTGATTCCATTACTTTTCTTAGGTTATCTAAGATTACCTTGGCTTTTTGTAATTTTTTTCATTTTAATTCTAATTATTAAAAATAAAATAAAATATATAATTACAAAAATAATTATATATGATATCATTATCTTATTTATTTATTTTAAGGGTATTAAAGCATTATATATATATATATATATATATATATATATATATATATATATATATATATATATATATATATATATATATATATATATATATATATATATATAACCATAAACCAAACATGATTATATCACATACCTCAATTTTAACCAAACATAGGAATCTAACATTCCCAGCAATTTAACATTCCTAAGCTAATCTAACATTCTATGAACCAAACGACCCCTAACTATGATTTTGATTATTCTCATTCCTAGTATATGTAAACCCATGAACCAAACACACCCTCAATAACCAAGACTATGTGGTCTAATGGTATCCAGATTGGACTTCTAGTTGGAAGGTTGTGAATTCGAGCCTCAGTTGAGGCGTTATTGGTTGTTTGTGTTTCAGTAGGTTGAGAAAGTATATGAACTATCTACTACGTTGTAATAGAGCCAGTAGCATTCACAAAAAACACACCCATGTTTCAGTAGGTTGAGAAAGTATATTCACAAAAAACACACCCATGTTTCAGTAGGTGAGAAGGTTGAGAAAGTATATTCACAAAAAACACACCCATGTTTCAGTAGGTTGAGAAAGTATATGAACTATCTACTACGTTGTAATAGAGCCAGTAGCATTCACAAAAAACACACCCTCAATAAATTCAATACCATTCCATTGAGTTAATTTCATTTTTTATAGTTGGTAATTCACTTTTAGTTCTTTTTTTTTTTTTTTTTTTAAGAACATCCTCTTTGGTCCTACTATTTTTGCGGCATGACCATTTTTGATCATCTATCAACAAAATTGTATAAATTCTGTAAAATACAAGGACATTTAGGTCTTCAATCATGATTTTTTAAAAAATAATAAAATAAAAAATAAATATATAGTGTGTCAACTCACTTTGTATAAAAAAGAATGAAATGTCTTTTTATTTAACGAAATTTCAACTATTTTGTTGAGGAAGGACAAAAAATGGTCATGCCACAATAATACTAGCAGTCTAGCACCAAAGGGGATGTTTTGAAAAACAAAGACTAAAAGTGTGCCACCTATAAATCATTGAGAAATCCGAAATTTTTTTAATGCATCTAATTTATAGGAGATATTGGTGACTTGCACACAAGTGAAGAATAGGATCGAATTGGCTCATTTGACAACTCTTCAATTTTGATTCCCTACATTGAAATTTTCAGTTGTACATAGTGTAACAACTTTTTGCACACTTATGTGTTGTTTATGTATATTTATTTTTTATTTAATTTTTTATATATTAGTATTTTCAAAATAATTTTAAAGTATTTCAACAAATGTAATAAATTTTAATTTTAACTTTAAATTATGAAAAAATATATAATGAGGATGATAAGAATTGATATAAATATCTTAACTCATTGAGAATTCAAATATGATCACAAACATTATCAGGGAAAAAAAAGTTTGAAAAAAGAACAATATAAAAACTTAAGTGAATTCACTTTATAGTTTGATTCGAAATTCTTATTTTTTCTTTCTTTTTGAGAATTCAAGAGAAATTATTCAGATCTCTTTGAGAATTTAAATATGATTACAAACACTAAAACATTAAATAAAAAACCATTTGAAAAAAGAATGAGAGAAAAATTATAAAATTGATCGATGGAGTAAATTTTGTTGGCTTTAATAGTTTGATTCGACCAATGATCAGTTTTAGTGCAATAATAACTAAGAAAGGCAAGGATTTCAACAATAAGCCCATGCCCAAGTAAGTTTTATCAAGAAAAAAACATATTAGAAGATTTTATATATTTTTTAGAATATTAAAGTCATTATGAGTATTCTTAAAATATTTTATATAGTCAAATCACTTATATTATATAAAGAATATCCTATACATTTACTAATAAGACAAATGCAATATATATAGGTGTGAATAATAATGAGAATACATCATTTGTAAATCACCATTGAAATTTCCTTCTATTTATTCTTTATTTCTGACGAAAGCATAGCATATACATTTTACTATTAAATTATTATTTTCAAATTGTCAAACTTTAAACCTCAATAATATATTTGCAGGATAGATTTGAATAGAGCATATTAATCAACAAATATACAATAGAACATATCAGTTATTTGATAGATAAACTGAAGAGATGTTCATAAAACATAAAATATAACACTTAATAATTAACAATGTTTGGCGAAATATTTTGAGATTTGATAAAATCACTTTTGATTTTCATAATAAAACTTTAAAACAAAGCTCCAGAAGTACTAATGAATAATGTTGTAAAGGAAGCCTCGATTTTCACATTTCTGGCTTCACCTTCACGTCGCCATTTGGTAATGCCTGTTTTGCTTCTGCTGCAGAAGTTGCACGACTCATCCTATAAGCTTCCACTTCATCAGGAAATGCCTCTTCAAGTTCATCCAAAAGATGCTTCCGCAAACCCTTGAAAGCATCTGTTTTTCCTTTGGTAATCTGGTTTTTGGCAATGCAACTATTCAAAACATCCCTAGTAAACTCATCTGGATTCTTCCCATCATCAATTAAACTGAGAACCTCCATGGGCACCTGAATATCACACTTCTCTGCTAATTTCGCCATATTATCAAGCTCCGACACAAGAGCGTTCATGCGCTGGAGAAACGGAAGCTGGGAGTCGACGGTGAGATAGAGTTGGTGGAGCATCCCTAGGGTTTTCTGTATGGAGTTGATGACTTGGTTGAGATTCTGTTTGGAATCGTCAGCCGGTGATGAGCCGGTGGTGGCCGACGCTGATGAGTTCTGCGAATGATTCATCACCAACGTAACGGCGGGTTTTGAGTTCTGCGATTGGAATAGCTGTGAACGCTCTCCCTCTGTTTCCGTCGAATCTCACTTTCTCTTCTCTTTTTCTGTATATATAATAATGAAAACGATTGTTCATTTGCATTTGTAACTATTTTGAATTTTTTTATACACTTATACTAAAATTATAAATCTTAAATCTAAAAAGAATAGATAACTGTGTGGTGGTGAGAAGTGCACATATCTAATCTAATTTAATTTAATCTAAAAATATAATAAGTCTCAATCAAGGTTATACCATTGATTTATGTCCATCTTTTTGTATGCTAATAAATGTATACATTTTACTTTAAATGTTGTACACTTCAATGTTATTAGACAAAATTGTCCCTACTACATTGTTATTAGACAAAATTGTCCCTACTACATTCTTGTTAGACAAAAATACCCTTACACCGTTATAACTCCGTTACTTTTTAATTATAACATTGATAATTTCATCATTATTACTATACACCTATATCTATCATATCTTTTTCCTATTCTTTAATTATCATTTTATTAAAATCATTATATAATTAATTTAATTATTGATTATATTTTAATTAAATGGCTATTAATGGTAAATCATATATGTGTGTCAGTATGTATAAAATACATATATTATTTGTGCATATATAATTCTATGAATTTTTACGTATCGCGTGTACAAAATGTTAGTATATATATAAATCTTAAATCTAGATTACATGCAATGTGCGTTATTGTTATATGTTATTTGGATATTATATAAGAATTTCCTAGTATGAAGAGTGGTACTGGTTTTAGGCGAAAAAAATTGACAATATATTTTTAGCAAACGTGTATATATATATATATATATATATATATATATATATATATATATATAATTAGGTTCTGGTGCGGTTAGGGTGCCCAGGTGTGGTTGTGCGGTTTAATTTGTGTCATTCATTCATCTCGCTTAAATCAACGTTCAGGATTACCAAAATTTAAAAAAAAAAAAAAAAAACGTGTGGCAATTTTGTAATTTTTGCATCTAGGTCAAAATTAAGGTGAGCAGTGATGTGCTTAATGTGCCTGGGGTTGTGCTTAATATGAATAGTTGTTAAAACTTAAAGTGTGGGCTTTTGTGCTTATGGTGCGTGAGATTTGTTCTTAATGTGAGTAGAGTTTGTGCTTAATGTGCGTAGGGTTTGTGCTTAATGTGTGTGAGGTTATTGATTAATGTCAGTAGTTGTTGAAACTTAAGGTCTGTGAGTTAATACTTAAAGTACGTGGGTTTTGTGCTTAATGTGCGTGAGGTTCTGTTTAATGTGCGTGGGTTTTGTACTTAATGTGCATGAGTTTGTGCTTAATGTAGTGAGACATTTTAAAATCTTAAGTGTGAATTTTGTGCTCAAAGTGCTTTGTTCTGTGCTTAATGTGCTTGGGTTTTGTACTTAAGGTGAGTGATTTGTGTTCTTAAGGTGATTTAATTTGTTTGTGGACTTAATGTGCGTGGTGATTTGTATATTTAAGATGCGCCATGTAAATAATTAAGGTGGGTGAGTGTGTCCAACCGCACAACCGCACGGGAAGCCATCCCCGCACCTAAACCCTTCCCTATATATATAAGTTATAACAATGAACTCTCACATTAAATCTGTATAACAATATAAAAGTTATAACGATAAACTCTGACCTCAAATCTATAACAATACCAACAAACAATAACAAAAGATCATCACCACCATTCATAATAATTAACTACATTAAACATAAAACAAATAATTAACGTTAATCAAGAATTCAACCCAAGGTTTTCGGACAAAAACTAGTACAAGTAGCGCGGCAAAACACCGTCCAAAATCGCCAAAGTCTTCTCTTCTCCGGTCATTTGCCCTGAAGAGCAGAGGACACTCTCTCCGGAGAGGAGGGTGGCAAGATCGCCAAAGCCGGAGCAATATTCCGACGACAATCATCACCATGCATCGCAGGCTAATAATGAGGTTCCGGCGAAGGACTTTCGAGGTTGCACCGTCGGCCCTGATTACTCCGCGGAAGATTTCCAACGTTCCCACGTTGGATACCATCTTCGAAGAGGGGAATTTTCCGTCGCCCGCCGCCACCGGCGCCGGAAACAGCATCACCAGCAGCGGCGGCACTAAAGTATTCTACATGGTTCCTCTGGTTCTTTCTCTTGTGTCGTATGCATTGATAAATAGGTACATTGAAATATTGTGAGATAAAAACTGTTAATTACTCATTTTTCGGAAATGTTTTTTCGCATTTCAAGATTTTAATTAATAAGGTGTACATGTTTGAGCTACCCCAAGCTTCAATTTTTCTTCAGTAACACCATGCTATATATACATTTTTCCTTAACTTTTGGTCTAGAGACCGTGTGTTTGGGGGTTTGGGGATCAGTGTATCTCTTTTGGGGTAGCGAAAGAAACATGCAATTATAAAATTATGTAATGTCTTATGTACTGTCTTAATTATGTAATACTAGTTAAAAAGATTACTGTCTTTAAAACTCTTATCGATGATATAAAGGTTTTAATTTTCTTATTCAATTGAATTGTTTAATGATAGAAAATAATGTATAGTATAAAGTGTGATTAGCAAAGGAATGGGAAAATACAAAGTGTAACCCATTACAAACTAGTGTCATCCATGTTGGCAAATTAAAAGTCATTTTATTCGTTTTTTTTTTAAAAAGTCATTTAATTTTATTCTGCCATAGAACAAAAGCAAATCTTTTATGTTCATCACATGATTGGCAAGAAGCAAACAATATGCATTTTAATATAATGTTTCCCTATCCTTAATTATTAATGTTAAATCTTTTTTTTTCCTTAAAAAAACTATTAATTTAATCGACCAAACTCAAATTTTTATTTTAATTTGAAACAAACTCAATTTAAAATACTTGAAATGCTCTCTCTCATGGGAAGATGTGGGATTTGCATTCAAATGAGTGACAGTAACACTATCTCATGTTAAATAACAAACAACTACATCAAGTTGTATTCAATACAATATATAATATGTATTTATACAGAAGATCAATGAACAATTACAAACAACTTCTGAACATGAATTAGGCAAAATGGTTGAACCTAGGACCCCTATTACATAATACATAATATGGACTTATTACAAGGTTAAATCTGTTGTTTTGAACTTCAGAATTTGAAAAAAAAAAAAAGAAGGTAAACTTAACTAACTCTGTACTTCAGAGCTTCACGTATACCACGCTATTCAACCAACTGTTCAGAAGCAGCAATGTCACCTTTCAATTTGGCCCGCCCTTCCAGTTCCGAGATAAGTTTGTTTCTCCATAAGGTCTGCACATTGAAATGGAGCAGATGAGAAAATCGAAGAGATGCAAACGTCAGGAACAGGTGATCAGGGATCCAGGTAAAAGTAAAGAGCAGGAGAATTGCAGTGGTTCAAGATAAAACCCTTTAATGGAGTTCTATTATAGATGCACAAACTGAAGAGGTTCAAGGGTAAATATGCACAATGGCTTAAACAACATTACCCAGCTATCCAGAAAAGAAATTTAAAGAATGATAAGTAATCGACAAAGTAATAAAACAGACAATAAATGATTGCTTGCTTGTGGTGAAGAACAGACAATAATCAGAACTTATATTATAGTACTTGCAGTTCAATGAAATTAGATTCCATACATTATTACTATTGCAACTTTACTTCCAATCACTTCCTTGAGATGCTAAACAAAAAGGACACACGATCATTTCTGAATCTAAGCCAGTGCCATTCTTTCTTTATATGGCAGGACGTTATGTTTTACATGTCTTTCTAGATTTTACCAAAGTACAATTGGTGCACTGGACTGATTACGTGTTCCCAGAGAATCTGTTTACGCATGAAACAGAAATTTCACTATGATTTCTCACAATCTTCTCAACCTTCGACAAAAAAAAAAAAAACTTATATTATGTTCCCCATTAAGCACAGTGGGGGAGGGAGGGTTGGTGTATGAGCTGCTGAGTACACTATACACACAATTTGGGGAGGGAGGTGGGGGGGGGGGGGGGGGGGGGATGCTTTACGTCTTAAACTTCATAAAGATCCAATTATCTTTCCATATGACAAATATCTGTATAAATGACAAACTGACAAAGTGCCCTTTATCTTTCAATTTAGATGGAAGTTGAAAAGAATCAAAAGATGCTTATATGAAACAATAGAAATGATTTGTGAAGTATTTAACAACTACAACTTCTGATAGAAGCTAGATCAGCATCTATTTAACATTACCTTGAAATTTTCAGATGAAGCAGTATGAAAACACATGCGACGAAGATAAATGAAGCGCCAACACAAATATAGGCCATCCCAAGGAAGTTATTCTGGCCTCCCAGCCAGTTAGATGTTGAAAGAACAAGTTTCTTGCGTCCACCAAAACTGTAAGTATTATAGTTGTTCACAAGCTTCACAACTATTACATCACCTGCATCTAAATCTTCTTCAATCCTTCCATATAACTTTCGGAAGGTCGGGAGGGCAGCAGTTCTCATCCATACAATAAGATCCTCCTGATCACTTAGCTAATTGATACATTGAAGTCAAACACAAAAAAGGAGCAGGTAAAAATCATGAATTAAATGAATAAGCAACAATATATATATATAGAAGGTATATGAAGCAAAACAATTTAATTAAAACGCTATGTTGACTGTTTAGATGAGACTCATAGAATATAGAAGATAGTACTGAAGAAACTACTAAGGTTTCAATTGACAACAAGGACTTATTTAGTGTCATTCACTACTTAATGGACATCCTGAGAACATACAATATGAAATTTTTAGTTCATTCTTTTTTTTTTTTTTTTGGTACAAAATTTTTAGTTCATACTGTTTCTATACAAAATGTGCATTATGATGGGAGTATAAAAGACAATATGTCAGTATTCTAAACTTCAACCTAACTGTTTCAAGTAATAGAAAATAGATGCCAATCAGATTTTGGTTACACCAATGAGTACTAAGTGCTTCTTTGGTTCAGCTAGCCTTAGAAAAAAGAGCTTCTTGAATGAAGAAGCTTTATCCAGCCTTAGCAACAATTTTGCACTTTGTTTGGCCCAGAGACTGATTTTCGGAGTAGATAAGCTCCAAATTGGGGCTTGGTGATGAATACTAAAGGGCTTTTTCACAATTTCTATTGCAGAATCTCCAAAATATTATATATTTTTAGCTGATGTTAATTGATTGTTGAGCATCAAAGTTAAGTCTTACAGGAATGCTGGGATCTAACTTTGCACCACCAATTAAAGACCCATTCTGAAAGTTAAATGGATACACATGCTTCCCAAATTTGTGAGCACGGTCACTCCTCCATGCAATGTTCTTTCTGTTAACTTTTAATTCATCAACCCCACGGGAAAAGTCATATGTGTCATTAAACAAGCTCCATGCAATCAGACCACAAGGGACAATTGGTAGACCATTATTTGTGTCCTCAGGTTTGCAAGAGCCTGTAGTGTTATATCTCAATCCATGTAAGAGCTGTTGATCACTTTTGCTTTTTACATACCTAGATTAAGATTTTAAAGCTGAGTCAAAACCCAAATACATGGTAAACTAGACAAAAAGAAATACGTAAATGGAAAAGAAAGGAAAAGAGCAGAAGAAAGGGAGAATATAAACATGAAAAATCACAAGGAACTTCAAATATAACTGCAGGGAAATGTTTGGGTCATATATTATATGGGGAAGCTCAATCTGCTTGGGATAAGAAATAACGCAAGAGCACAGTCAAAGTTCTAGCATTGAATTCCAATCTAATCCTTTTCATGCTCCATTCCGGAACTTTAAACTTCCACTCCGTCAACTTTAATTCCTTCTAAAGAAAGTGATTCTCATTAACATGAAAATTGGGATTTTTTTGTTGGTTCTTGTATGCTCTGTTTAAAATCACGGGCATCAAACGACCCCCTTCTTGATAATGAACAATTAATACAACAGAGAGCAAGACAAAATTGATGGCCACATTAACATGCCCCTCCATCAACCAACGTACAATAGTCAACAATCTCTTCCCTGAATCCTAATCCTAGTGGAGGATTATATGATTGAGCCCATTTCCTTATCATGATGGTGTTGGGTGTTTAAGACATTGGACCATTGGATGAATATCATGATATTGTCTTTCTAAATTTGCAGAAGTTCATCTTCTTTTTTAACCCTTTTTTTTTCCATACCAAGGGTAATATATGTCTTTTTCCATATTTCTTGAATTATTAAATTTTCATGCCAAAAAATTGAATTCCAATTCAATTGGAAATTCCAAATCAAGTCTTTCTGTGATTCGAACATATACCAAAGACATCGAATATAATGTAAACCCACATTGGTTCCTGTAGAAAAGCTCACCTTCTGTGGTTTTGGTAGTAGTTATCAAGCTGATAATAAATGTAAATTGGAGCCTTCATGTACTTAGGCACCTGTGATGGGAAAATGCAAACCAAAAGTACCATAAATATCATCTAATATCCAAGAAACGTTGGGCCAGTATGCTTATATAGTAATAAGTTTAAAATAACGTTACAAAGAAATGCTACCTTTAAGTACCGGGTACAATTTTTGGGAACTGAGTCATCTACGATATATGCCACTTTAGTATTTCTAAATGGTACAGGTATACACTCAGTATCATATCTGTCCACTATCTCAACAACCTGCAATGCAACTTAATTAATCCTTCAAGGAAGACTAGCAATAACTGAATAGAGCAAGAAGATAACCAAAGGGCATATTAATATCACTCAATGTGAAAATAAAAAATAAAAAAATATTACACTCCGTGAAGCGTGAAGAAAGAGAAACCCCATGGGAATAAAGATAATTCCTGTGATGAAAAATGTTGAAATGACCTGCAAATCACAGGATAGCTCAAGTAACTCGCATGAGTTAAAAAAGCTGGTAAAGTGGAGCTGCCAGCAGAGCTTTGTGCTTGCTTACCCATTTTGGTGTTAGAACAGGTTTACAGGCTGGGAGATCTTGTTGAGTAAACTGGTACAGAGCTGCAAGTTGTGGATGAAGTTAACGTTTGAAATTAAGACAACCAACTTTGATCAATGACTTTTGGTGAAAAATCATATCGTTTGCAATTCATAAAAAAAAAATAAAAAAATACCAACTTCATATTCTACTAAAGTTTCAAACACATGAAATGACCACCAGTTATCAGTGAATTCGCCAAAAGAAGGCACTAAATTCTTGATCATTATATCCACTATATACATACATATATAAAGTGTGATACAGAATGGTATTAGTTCCTCAAAGTCAGCCTCCTCCCTTTATACAGCATGAAATTGGTATTAATATGATCTTCAGGCTTCACACATTCCATGGTTAGCAGAAAATGTCATTCGCAAACCATTCAAATTGACAGTTTATAATCATTTCGTAATTTGCTCAAACTACTTTCACATTGATTCAAACAAAATTTATTTTTCAAATGTTCAAAAGTAGACAGAAACAAAAGGAGCTCAAGGATCTAAAAACGCTTGCCTTTTCTCCAGCCTCGTCGAGGAACTGCCGAGGAACTACTTGGTCCCTCCTGCTCCATTCAAGGCAATTAAAAAAAAAAAAAAATTCCCTGAAAAAAACTTCAGAAACTGAAATAAATTCGAAGAGTAAAATATTAGCTCAAAACCTTACATCACAACAAATATCATATAGAAAATGATGATTTTGTTTTTCTGAAATCCCTGATAGAGAAAGGATCAGGATTGAGTTTTCACCTGAAATGAAGTTGTAACAATTCGTAAGAAATGCGATTTGAGATTCGGAAGATGGGGCGAACAAGGGTTGAAGTATGGAATTTCAAAAGAGCGATTGCTTCTGATTGGGGAAAAGCACTCTGCACTGTTTGTATTCATATAAACACACGGATCATCTGTATACACTTCCACCGCAGAGGTTCAACGTCAAATGCAAAGAACGATTGCTTCTGCAGGGGTTTCCATGATTCTCAAAGTATTGGGGAATTTGAGATATTATTAGAAAGTTTAGGGGGTACATGTAGTTATCTGGAAATATTTGTACTCCGTAAAACATAACGGGCCATCGGCGAATCGAAGGCTTACTTGGGTCGGATTATATTGGGCCCGACAGCCCATCCAATCGGCCTTGAATTTATCAAAAGCTTCAAAAAGTTGCTCTATTTGGAATTCAATCGTAGAGTTAATTACCGAAATGGTCCTTAGACTATAGCGAAATTATCAATTTGGTCCTTGACTATTTTTTTTTTTAATCAATTAAGTTCTTCAATTTTAAAAATTTTAATCAATTTGGTCATTCGTTTATTTGACCGTTAGTCAACCGTTAACAAGGGACCAAATTGGTAATTCGCTATAGTCAAGGGACCATTTTGATAAGTAACTTTAAGGGTGGGTTATTCGGTTCAGTTTTCTCGAACCGATCTATACCAAATTAGTTAGATTCGATAATATACCGAACAAACGAACGGTAATAGATTCTTGTATACCGAACGGTTCGGTAAAAACTCAAACCGAACTGAATTGTTCGGTAAAAACCGAACCGAACTAAATACCGTTTGAACTTTGGATTGCTATTTTGTTATATATTAGACTTTCGATATAGACTATGTAAATACCATAACACATAATATAGAACTTTTGATAACAAACAATAAAGAAATCAAATACTCCGTAAAACATTTACGAGAGATACCCGTAAGAATATGAGCTGAACGGCAGAGCAAGCAGCAAAGGACTTGGATTTATTTTTATTTATTTATTTATAATTATTATATTATTATTATTATTATATTTTTTTAAAAAAAATCAGACGGTATTCGGTTCAGTTCAATTTTTGATCGAACAATTCGGATTGATTTTGTATCGAACCGTTCGGTATACAAAAATTCAATACCGTTCGGTTGTTGGTATATTACCGAACCAAACTAGTTCGGTTTGGTTCGATTCGAGAAAATTAAACCGAATTGCCCACCCATAAAGTTAATTACCAAAATGGTCCATTGACTATAGTAAAATTACCAATTTGATCCCAAGTTAACGGTTGACTAACGGTCAAACAAACGGAGGACCGAATTGGTTAAAATTTTTAAAGTTGAGGGACTTAATTGGTTAAAAAAATTAGTCAAGGACCAAATTGGTAATTTTGCTATAGTCAAGGTGGACCATTTTGGTAATTAACTCCAATCGTTATATGGAACTGTGACCCTTGTCCAAAATAGAATTTTAATTTATGTTCACAATGCGCATAATTCATGTTTATAATACAGATACACATAAACACGATATAATGGACACGAATTTTGTGTATTATAAACATAAATTCTGTGCATTATGAACATGAATTCTTTGTATTATATAGTGCACTGTGGACCCTGGTGATATGGATACTACCCCCGTTCCTTGGGTTGTGCTACGGTTAGACCCGGTCAGTAACGAACCCCCGGATCGTCCTTGGGGGAGCCCGATCGCCCCCGATCGGAAACGTAGACCCCGATCGTTTTGCCGAGACGGGCTGTGATGAAGTCCGACCTCTAGCCGTGGACCGACCACTTGCGGTTGGTCCCAACCTACCCCCTTCGGACAGTGGTCCAACGCTGTCAGGGGTATAGTGCCACGTGTCGTGGGCTCCTTCGGCCCCGGCCGGATCCAGTGCATGCGAGCCACGTGTAGCTCATGCTGGAGGCCCGGAGTGTGTCTCCCCTTCCTCCTATAAATATTGCATTAAATGCTGAGAGAGGTGGACTTTTGGACTGACTAGAAGACTCTAAGTTGTTCGACCGGAGACTCCCGACCCGCTGTCGGAGGATCTCGCGCTTGCGTACTCTATGTTCGATACCATACTGTACGCATACCTTCGTATTTACAGTATCATTTTGGCGCCATCTGTGGGGATCAGTACGAGAAGCCATTCAATTTGGCATTACTGACCCTAAGTGAGATGTATCCGTTCATGGATTTCCGCAACAATTAGGAATTCGATGAGAGCTTCTCCGATCTCCGTACTCAGCTCAACTCAGGAGTCAATCTCAATAACACTCCGGAGAGAGCTTTTACCCCTGACCCAGTCAATGTAGTTCACCAAGGAACAACCTTCCCGACGATGGCCGGGCAAGGACCGGCCTTCCCACCGATGGTCGGGCATATGCCGTTCAAGTACCCGATGTATCCGGCCGGGCCGTTCGACCCGCGTTCGAATTTTGGCATAGCCCGCAAGGATTCCCCCCGCCCCTATCGTATCCTTTCCAACTAGTCCCAGGAGGATACCCACCGCAGACCCAGGTGCCCATACCCAACATGACCGAATTCATGCCCGCTAGAGGCGCCACAGGTGCCACGGAGCTAGAGCTTCGCCGAGCACAATCCGAACGTCGCCCGGCCCGATCGAGATTAGGGTCTTAGGGAGTGCCTGGGACGCAGACCAGAGGACCAGCGCCTTCGAGCGACTCCGGCCGACAATGCAACACCGTTTGGGGTCTCGCGGCAATGGCCGAACCTCCATAGACGCGGCGGCGGCGAGTTACCAGGGTGACTCAAGCGAAGTCAGTTCTTCCCGACCTTAATTGAAGGGGCAAAGAACCCAGAAGGCCTGACCGGGATGATCTGCATGGGGACGCTAAGGGATTCCTAGAATAGGTCCGCTGGGAGTTCACCAAGTGGAAACAGGAGCACAGTCCCCGTTCGTATGAGTCCGAGGTGCCGCTGTTACAAATGCCTTCCACGGCCAAGATTATGAACCAGCCATACCCGTACAACTTACATATCCAGGGAAGTAAAGACTATGATGGAAAGTCCGATCTAGAGGCGCATGTCAATTCCTACTACGACAACATGTTGTTGATGGGAGTAATCGACGCCGTAATGTGCTGAGCATTCTACTCCACCTTGACCGGGCGAGCTGCGGATTGGTTCATATCACTAGAACCTGATTCGATCCCTTGCTTCGCCGAGCTTGCCAAGAAGTTCGTCCAAAATTTTGCGACATCCCGGGCTGTGCGAAAGCATTTCACATACTTAGAAAAGGCAAAGCAGCTAGAGGGCAAATCCTCGTCGGACTTCCTAGTAAAGTGGAAGAACGCCATCAGCGAGGTTGAGCCGATGGATGATCGGATTGCGGTGAACGTCCTCCATTCATCCCTCTAGGCCGGGGGGCTATACCAAGATTTCATCATGCATCCCCCGAAGAGTTACGACGAGGCCATCTGTCGAATCACCGATTATGCCAACGCCGGAGAGGCAAATACGGTCAAATGGTTACAGGAGGTCGGAACGAATTGGAGGCCCCCAGGACGACCTGAGGGAAGAGCGACCGAGCCGCAAGGTAGAGGGCGTGGCAAGCCGATCGAGTTCACACCTCTCAACCGCCCAGGCGGTGGACGTCCTCCGATATGCTTAATCGTGTAACATGATCCAGCTCCTCGAGCCGTTCAGAGATGGTCAGGACAAGAACAAGTAATTTGACTATCATCGATGTAAAGGCCACGAGGCCGAAGAATGTACTTACCTAAAACAATTGATTGAGGACTTGTTGCA